TTTCATTTGTTAATCTGTACCTTAATATTCATCTTTATTGTTTTAAGTTTAGAAATAACCACAATCTATCATAATCGTTGGATAAGCTATTTATCTCTTATATTATTTTAAAAATAGAACAAAGTCAGTGACGTCTAATACTTTAATTTTATTATTTAAACTTAACTCATAGAAATTTCCTGTCTGAAAATTAATCTGTTATGATTCTAATTTTAAATTTAAAACTCTTAATCTTTAAATAAATGAATATATTCATAAATTAATTATAGATACGTTGACAAAGTTTGATCAAACCTCGACACATACCTCTCGGGGAAAAGATAGAGGAGGAATTTGACGATTAGACAAAATATTTTAAAGTACACGCGAAGAAAACAAATGGAAACAATCAAAGGACTATTTAATATCTTATTACTTTTCAATTATTAATATAACACGAAAAACAAAGTATAAACACTCAATTACGGAAAAAATAGCATCAGGCTTGTAAAATATTCAACAGACGTATTGACATTCGATGGTAAGTCAAAAATACAAATATGACGTTGTAAACACTGCCTTATCTAATTTACATGTTTTATCATTCGTAATTTTCCTCACGTTCCTGCTAGCAACAAAACTAGTTCGTGGCAATCGTGTAATAATTGTTTTATTATTATTTTTTGATTCTTATCAGTTATTATTATTATTCCCTCATCTTGTCAAAAGTTGACATCAATAGATTAATGACGCCCAGAAGATGGTGGGGTTAGTTAAGATTTTGGCTTTTCCAGTCGGAAGTGTGTAATATTCGTCCTAAACTACACAAAGCCCCGAAAATAAACGCTACTAAGCTAATTAAAAACGGAAAAAAATCTGGGTTTCTCGTCACGTGCTAAAATATTTTTTGAATAAAACTTCCTGCAATTGTTTATGCTTTTTCAATTATTTTTCTCCTTTATTTTTCGTTGGACATTGTTAAAGCTACTTGATTCAAAGGGTAAATCATTCGATCGATTCCAATTAAATTCTATAACAATTTTTTAAACAGAAATTTAATAATAATAATAAAAAAAAGTTTCTAGCTTCATAATGACGAAATTATTTGCAAAAATTTGCGAAAAAATTGTTAATTCTTTGAGAATTCTTGTTTACTTTTTGTTGAACTTTTATCAAAGGATTTCTATAATAAAATATAAATTTAGTTATATGTTCATTAACATCGACTTCTATTTATGATATTAATAGAAGAATAAAAGAGATGGAATTGGCCGTTAAAATATATTTAAATTACAAATTTAAATAATATTCGTAGATTATGATAATGATTACAAGAATTAAAAACCTCTCAAACAAATGTAATACTCTTACAAATATTTAAACTTTATTTATTAAAAAATAAATATATTTATACAAATTTTTATAATGGTGTAAAGAAATTCTAAATTACTATTTACATTCTTAGAAAGTTCCTGTACAGTTAATCGGTGGCCCCTGTCCCTACGATTTCCATATCTGTTCGCGACTTTCATCTATCTAACATCATTCTCGAGATTAATGTAGCCATACGGAGGACAGAGGGAATTTATAGGTCTACAATTTTTTCAGTTTGAAATCCAAAAAATACCTATTCAAATGAATGATACTTTGTTTAATTCAAATGACACAAAAATTCACGTGCTTTATTTCTCAATTTTATTCATTCCACAACACAAATAATAAAGTATAAGAATTCTTTGCTGGAAAATTCGATAATATGATCTTTATACCGTTTATTGTAACTTATCTGTCTATTGTGCCTTTTGAATGAATGAACTATAAACGGTTTTTTCCAAAATCTCAATTCATTAAGATTTTAAAAAGTCTTGCAAACACTCAATTTATTGGACGCTCATTTTACCAAAGTCGATAGATATACTGGTCCTTGCGCTACCAATAGCTCTAATGCTATTATACTGGTTTAATAAATATTTCTATCACTTCGATCGCTTCAATCGCGCGTTGTCCTAAATTTGCCTGGAGCATAGAGAGAGTCAGTATAAAAACCTAATTCTATTTTCCATTTATCTATAAAAATATTCCCAATTCCAGTAAATTCAGACATTATATAAATGTATACAGTGGAATTTCGATTTGGCGCCATTTTTTCTATTTTGGAATTAACGCAAAATCGAAACTAAAATAAGAGTTAAAAATATTAATGAATGTCTATACTCGAATCTAAGCTGACATTTTGACATTTACCTGATTTTAGGTGATATCAATCAAGAGGAATGTAGCATAATGTAATATCTGCGATCAAGAATCGCGAAAATTAACATTTCCATTATAAGAAAAATAAAATGCCGTTTTAATTAATATACTGGAAAATAAATTATGTTTGACCAGACGTTAAACCAGATTTGTCTACAAAGATATGCGGCTTGTAGGTGAGGTGAGATGCTTACTGCAATTAAAAAATAAAAAAGATAATATATTTATGTTAATAAATTATTCGCTCGCTTTTAAGTAACCATTTCTCTTACGTTTTGTAAGATTGAATTTGGTTTTATATAATTATTATACTTATAATTGTATGTTTTTAAATGTGAGTTTAGAAAAAAGTTGTGTTATTACATTCTTCATTTCTTTATTCTATTGTTACTGTTTGTTCTTTTTCTGTTGTCCTTTCGAATATGCGATAGTTTTAAGTCTTTACAAACCTTTTAGGTATTTTAAAAATTGTTTTAAAATTATTCTGTAATTATGTATTAATAAAAAATAATCAGTGGAGAGAATAGAAACTGTGGTTAGTGGTTTTCAATAATTATAAACAATGTGATCATACTGCCTCATCTTGGCATAAAACGTTTTAATTTAAATGGTCAATCATTTTTGCAAATATATAATTTATATGTAATATTTTGTACAAGCAGTAAGGAATGTAATAGTTTTCTAACAAGTAAGTAAGAAATTTTTAAAAAAATCCTGCAACAAGTTTTGTAACTTTCCCGGCTGTTATGAGATTTAATTTTAAAAATAACTTTTATATTATTAATTATACTATTAATAATTAAATTATGTATGGCGCCATCTGTTATGAGATTTTATCTCATAACAGATGACGCCAAACATAATGCATAGAAAACTGTTTATATTATTAATTATTATGAGTTTTATAAAGAATTGTAAATCCTAATAACGAGTAAAATCTTTATTAAGTCCGATCCCTCTCGAGATATGACTTTTCTCTCTCCCCACGCTCCTAATCTTTAATTAAGAATCAAAATTTAATAGCATCAATACCCATTATATAAAAAGTACAGTAATACCCCGAACTTACGCGATAGGTGGGACCGAACAATATAATGTTCTGTTTTAAAACTGCACTATTGTTTATTGTTTGTAGAATATAAGTAGAATATAAGTCGTAAGTCGGGGTATAATTTCGCAATTTGTGTAAAATCCAAGTCGGATGTATGTAATCTAATAAATGTTCTCGTTAATCTTATCTCGTCTTTTGATTCGTTCACGGTTACAAGAAATCACCACATAGAGCCTATCGAGTCTCCGTAGATATAACAAACACAGAAATAAATAACACAAAATAAATTGTAGCTATGTGTCGATTCCGCGCGACACGTCCGAATATGTAAGCCGAACAATAGTGTGGGGGGAGTGAGTAATCAAGGGTTGCGTGGCGCTCAAACAAAAGACGAATCGACGAGATTTGAAAATCGCGTAACTCCGGGTTCGCGTAAATCGGGGTAGCGTAAGTCGAGGTATTACTGTACCATGACAAATTTCGTTTCTTAATTATCCCGAAGATATTAAACCAAACAGATGCCAACACACATATACTGTCTCGGAAGGTTTTTCCTGATTTTTGACTTTTTGGGTTCAGGAGGTTTAAAAACCTAGAAAGTTGCATAAAAGCTGTAGGGTAAAATTAGACACAATTATAATATGTTTATATGCTTAACAGCCGGGAAAGTAAAGGCATTTATGAGTTATATTGTAATAATATAAATATTACTTTTGAAAAGTTGGATTGTTTAAATCGATTAAACTTACGCAAAGAAGTGAATGTAATTGAGAAAATGAAATATGTGGAATAAGATATCAGGTTCTAAATAGTTAATGAACGTTTGATTAATTGATTGAAAAGAATACTCAGACAGAAAGAATTAGAAACTGGATTTAGAAAATACAAGATACAAGATTCCATTATATTACATTTAATTGTAAAACTCAATGGACTGAAAATTGGGCGACGTTAACTGAGCGACAGCCAAGTGGATCACGATTGAATGGCGACCGTCATGTGGACGACAAAAACTTAAAAATGTTTGCACGCTTAGTAAGTATAAGATATGGTTAAGATTTATAAGGTGGGAGTTATTATAAGGTGGGACATATGTTAAAATATTATAAAGGAATTAACTGAATGACGTTGAAATGAAGTCATAAGACAATTTTTAATTCGTTTATTAATATTATTTTATAATTAGCAAGCATGTTCACACATATTACAAGTATACATTAAAAGAAAGATGTATATTATATACTGTAAAATATAATAATATGCCAAGTTTTGTAAATATATTCTTAAATTTCCTTATTGTATGTGTATACTTCAGCTATTATTTTGTCTCTCGGATGTCCGGCATCCAGTTGACTGTGGCCGTGTAATACCTATTATACTATTTAATTATAATCGAAACATGACATTTTATAAATATATCAAGAAAATACTTGAAAGCTTGTATGCATATCTGAAAACAAAATCATTAAGCACTATTACTCTATATAGTATATTGTTTTAATAATGCTGTCGTCGTGAAATAAAACTGCACTATTGTTTATTGTTTGTAGAATATAAACTGGTAAGAGTCATAAATTACTTCAATAAATTTCCTTTTGATTAGAATCTAAGTTTTTAAAACTTCAGGAAAAGGTTTTATAATTTTTACACCAGGTAACATATTTTATTGTCATTTAAATTTATGAGTTCATATAGAAAAGACGTAAATATTCCGATAATGGAGTTTAAGAATTTTCTTATTTTCTTAGTATTTCTGGCTATAACTCAATCTTACGCGATCTCCAGCAGCCGAAATCCTGACGACAATGATGAAATAGAACAGACCTTGATGACGATACGAAATGCAGAAGTAAAAATGAAACATGCTTTGAAGTCTATCATAAAACAAAGTCTACCTTACGTAATGAAGATTTTCGAAGAAGTAAATGTATCTTCATCTTGTCTGAAGGCTTCAACGCACTTCCTGAGAGACTTGATAAGACTAAAAGGATGGACATATCAATGTAAGTATTGCAAACTTTTTAACTGATTAATAAATAAATATAAATAAAACAACTTGCTTGTACGTATGCTGTAGTTAATAAACATTAGATATACGGAAGCGTTTTAAAAGGACTCATTTAGCTTGTGATTTTATGATGGCAAAAAGACATTGAAACTTCTTCACAGAACGTGATAATAAGATCTTATTTAGGACTCCATGAATTTTTGGTATCGAAATTACTTAGTATAGTTAAATTTTAAGATCGTTATAGCTACTATAAATATGATATCAAATTTTAAATTATTATTGAAAATAGTATTAAGTATTTTAGTTTATAAACTAAATCTATTTAGTTGAAGAACAAATGGAATTAATTTCATTTTTCTTATGGTTAATTAAACGTATTATACTTTGAAATTCAACTTAGTGTAATTTTCATAACGTATAATTGAAATTACGTAATATTGCGTTAATATTGAAATTATTATTTGAATGTAAGTTGTTTGAATAAATAGAATTATTCAAGTCAACCTGAAACGTGTAAATTGAACAATGGAAAGTAAATTATCTATAAATAAAAATCTGAAGGGAAAACATTTTATCTAGTAAATGTGTATTAAAATAACACAATGATAAATTATTGGTAATTGTTCTTCTGTTTTTTAATAACGTTTCCTGACTGTACTTGACACTCAGCAAGTTTTTTCAATTAGGATACTCTTTTAAATATCCTGTAACTTTTGTTATTAAATAATTTAAGATTTTTTAATCGAAGTATTATTATACTGATTTTGAATTTTGTAACAAAATTTATATTTTAAACACTTGAAATAATATGAATAAATTTTGCTAATGTGATAATTTCAAAAAAATTTTATAATATGTTGCAAAAAAACAATAAAATATCCAAAATTTCCTAGAACAATATTTAAACCACTTAAAATTATAATTCGAAATTAAATATATTTTGTTTTCAATCTGTTATTATAACGTATATTTTTAAATTTATTTTTAACCTAATAATATATTTGGTATTTTATAATGCAAGTGCAAGTCAAGCTGGTCTCATTATTATAATGATATATGAAAGTGATAAAAATTTTACAGTACGTAATGCTGTATAATATATCTATGTTTATATATATATTTATTAGACTTTTAGCTTTGTTTTACTTATTAATTTAAAATTTCTTTCAAATATTTAATTTCTTATGTAATAATATTCGTCTGTGTTCATTATGAACTTATTTAAACGTCGTATTAAAACCTTATTGATTCACCTACAGTTTATGATGTGGTATCATTTAAGTTTTAAGAGTGTTTGAATTTTGCATTTTGCTTTTCTAAAAAATATTTAAAAGCTGAATAAATTAAACATAAGTTCATTTTTTTATTTTTCTAATAAATTTTTATTATCTGCTTCCTCGATTCTTCATCACTCTCCTGTGTAACTAGCAATAAGTCATTTATGAAAATCTATTGTATTCGTGAATTCAAAATATATTGATTTTTTTGAATAAAATTTAATTTCAGATAAATAAAGTTAACATTTTTAATTTATATAATTGTTGAAAAATCAATTAAATTTTATATTAAATGCGGAAATTTTGTTGAAATTTTGTAATTAGCAATTAAGTCGCAAAATAAAGTTTAGTTTCTCTTTTTCTTTTTTAGACTACATTATTTTTTTAATATCTGTCGCTTAAAACATGAACAAATTATAAAATCTATAATGCTTGCATCTTACATTTTAAGTAGCTATATTCCACTTATTATACTCTCACTCTCTTTCTCTTCTTTTTCTATAATTTATTTAGTATAATTGATTTTCATTTCCATTCTTATTCCAAACTTGCCGTCGATTAGAAAACAGTCTGTTTTACTTTCACTTAAATCATTTTAGTAAAATTAGGTTCAGTTGGAATAGTTTTATACCTACGCTAGAGAAGGCTGTCGTCTTAAGGTCTTCAAGCTTGCCTTTGTTTACCATTAATTATCGTTTTCGTGGTTCCTGCTGCGTCTCCAAAGGTACTGGATATGTTGAATACACGTCAGTACAGTCTTTACCGTACTTCTTCGTCCCAAAGACAATTTATTACTTGATATTGTTCAGACTTCCTAACATTAAGAATATATATAAGAATATTTTTAAACTTAAAAAACTATAAAACAAATAAATGGATATCAGTTCTCAAATTATTGCAACAATTTAAAAAATAATATACCTTTTTCTTCAAGTAATCATTTTAATCTAACGATGTTTGAAACAAACAAAAAAGAAATATAGTCAAAATTTAGTAGATAAATGTTTTCCTTGAAATGTTTACAATTCAGCCTGAAGTAATCAAAGAGCCAAAATTACTGATTTACGTAAAAAAATATTAAGTAACAAGAAACAGAGAAAATGAATTTTTCGCAGCTTAAAGTGCAGTTTGTGATGGAGTTAAATTAACCTAAACTTTCGAAACTATATTTTCAATAAAAGTTAAATTTATCTTATTACATATATTTAAAATAATCATAATAAATTATAAAGAAACATATAAAAATATTTTTTACAATAAAAATAATTATTTTGTTTTCTAATACATATTTTAAAATTTCAGTATTGGATTCTATAGGAAAACCGGCTGCCGGAATTCTTGGAGGGAGTCCTTGGTTTCGGGGAGATTATGATCAATGTTTGGATATTGTAACTCACTTCAGTAAGAGAAAATCTGCAAATAAAGAGACAATTCGAGGAAAATTTTGTGCCGTGTCAATGAAATTTCCTTCGTTTAATCAGGAAACTATAAAATTAATTTCTAGATATGGAAATATTTCTTTGATACAGCTAATAAGAGAAATCATCGTAAGTTTTCATTCAAATATTTTATATGTTGTTACCATTAATCGATGTGTAAACTCATGAATCTCTATGTAAAATGTTTAATTAATGATGCATTCAGAACCATATTAGATTTTTCATCTCATCTGTCAAGAACAAATCTTACCTTTTATTAGTTAGAGTACTATGAAATGGAGTGCCGTAACTAGCCATTTCTGTGCCCTGTGCAAGAATTTACATTTAGGCCCCTTAATTAATTAGGATTTGGAAAATAATAAAACAAATACATGCATTTTGGGCCCCTCTTTCAAGTGGGCCCTGTGCGGGTGCACCTGTTGCACCTGCCTAGTTACGGCACTGATGAAATGGGATGGGTAGAATGGAATCTGGAATCAACATCTGAAAACTAATATTGTATAAATATAAGTTTACTTTGCCTTTGCGAATTTTGTACAGAAGAGTTGTTAATTAAATGAATTCTCATTGAGAAATTCCAAATGAAAATGATCTTAATTAAAACAAAACTGCAATCATTTGTAATTTCAGATAACTGCAAACCGTGGAAACAGAATGCTGAATATATTAGAATTTTTTGTCGTTTTTGTATTTTCTGTCGAAATTAATTCAAACCAATATTTATGATGATAACGAAATTCACGATTTTAAAATAAATTTTAATCTTTTAATTTATATTAATCTTTAGATAATTGCATCTAAATATTAAGTAAATAACAATATAATATGTTTGCAGAAGCCATTAAAATTATCAAGATTATACGAATTTAAAGGAACCATTATTCAGACACTTCGGTTTGATGTTTGCATTCCTAGTATGTGTAACGAGAATGATTTGCAAAGTATTGGACATTGGGGTAATTTCAATTATATAAGCATATATAATATTATATTAATAAGTATAATTTGACAAGAATTCAGTGTTAGAATGTATTAAAATATAATTATTTTTACCGTGTATTTTTCTTTCAGAATAACATATACTTTAAAATGAACCGAATTTTGAACATATTTACCGTAGTCGATCTATAATTATTATAAATGTATTCAACTTTTTTTCTATTATTATTATTTAATTACTTGTAGGCCTATTTGAATTTTGTAATATCTTTCCCTAACCGAAATTACATTTTAACACCTTTGATTGATAACTATTTATGTTACGTAAATTCACAGACAAATGATATACATTTTTGCCTCAATGATCACATCCATCTATTAAGATATATTTGATTTTAGAAAAATTTATTAATCGGAAAACAAACACATGATATAGTTTCATGCTCATATATGCATGAACAGTGACGTATTTAGAAATATTATGCCTTTACCAGGCTCAATATATTCTGGCATAGAAAACTGATAGTGTCACTTAAGCATCGAATGATTGTAATTTATAAATTTAATTCTATATTAGTTGTATTTTTACAGAGTATTAAATATCGAAATAATAAATGGCACTGCTATCGAAAACCCGACATTATTACTACACAAAGAAAATGGTACGATCTGTTAGTTCAAAGTACAGTACATTTATGTGTTAATACTATTCAACCGATATGTTTTATTTTGTCCCTACATAAACTTTTAATTTGCACTAATTCCGAAATAAACCATTACGAATTGTTTGTACATAAAACTATATTTTCCCCTTATTTTATTGCTATTGTTAATATTTCGAATATTTGCGCTTCTATGCATAGACTTGGTGGGTTTAATGAGAAATCCGTTACAACACATGAATATGAGAAACATGTAATGCTGAGGAAGAATGGCTGAAGCTAATTCTTCTAAGAATATTAGTTACAATGTAACGATAAGTTATTGATTTTCTGGTTCATATCATTATCAATGACGTGAAATAAGCCAGATGCGTGAATTATGTCAAATGACATATAGAAAATGAATCTGTGGTATCAACATTGCACTAAATGATCAACTTAAAAATATTTTGAACTCCCGAAAAAGTGCGAGCTATAGGGCAAATAATTCTTCATAGAAAAGCATTTATAAATTGCCCTTTTATTTCAATATATTATTGCACAGATATGCTCAATGTTGCTTTTTACTAAAATGTATTTTATTTTATTTGCATACTTATTTTTTACAAATATTATAAAAGAGTTTCTTTGCAGTAATAGGAGATCTGTTGCACGTGGATTATTGCAAAACAATGGATGACAAATTAGAAATTTCTATTGCTCAACTGATATGTATGTAAGTTTTTTTTGTTTCAAAATGCTGAGGAAAATATTGAAGAAATAATAAGTTATTTAGAAGTAAATTGTTAATTAATGTTTATCTTCCTAATCTTCATTATGAAGTTCCATAAAAATAGAAATACATCATATTTTACACAATTATATTATTATAAAATTACAAATTGATATTTAGATTTAGTAATATGTAATTAACTACATAATTTGTAATTTATGAACTTCTATCTTTATTTTATTTTACTCTTCAGATTTGACGAGTCAAAACGAAATATTTTTATTCCGTATATGCATACATTCCGTATTTATGGACAATACATAGGCCTACATTCCGGAATATCCATATTATATATAGCGGAAAATAAACTAAACTGAAAATATTTCAAATATTAACATAGTGCCTGATACCTATTAGCAGTGTTTTAAAATATATTATTATTGAAAATTGTTAAAATATCACGCATCATTGAACTATGTAGTGATAAATCTTTTGCTTAGAAATGATATTTCTGATATGAATCAGAAATATCATTTACCAGCAAAAGTTAATATGACAGTCAAATAAGTCAATATGACATTCGAATCCCTGAAGTCACATTCTGCACAACTGATGTCAAGTATGAGATCTGAAGATATGGGGGAGGGAAAACACCGCAGCTACGGAGTTCGGTGTGTTTTCTTTTAACGAAACTTTCTGCCTTACAAAACTGAACCTGCAATTCTTTCTGCGATCACTTTTCTAAGTTTCGGATATACCATACCAGCCCGCAGTCATGCATTATTCTAATCGTTTCGAGCTGCAAATCTAAATTTTTATTATGTTGTGTACATTATTATTAATTGACTTAAAATTAAATGTTTGATCTTATAGTTTTTTTTATTATTTTCTTTATTTTATAATTATTTATTGAAGTTATTTTATCGTTTAGCATCAGTTTTGGATTGTTTCTAATTTGGGTTTCGCTGGCTGCTATATTGGAAGTGCTGACCAAGTATACGTCATCCAAAGGTAAGAATATCCTCAGACAAATATTCTGATTGGACATTATAAATGAATATCAAATTTTAGCAGTTTTGATGAAAGCATTTGTTTATTTCTAATTCTGGATATGAAAAGAAAATAATTTACAATGAAAAATCTTAAGTAATATTTTAAAATTGGTAACATAACAATTTTGTTTTCTACTTTATTATTTGTTCCAATTAAATACAATTAAAAATTGAGGATTCTACAATATTTCTTTTTCAAAATCTTTTACAATTATTAATCTCAATAAAAATTACGATGAAGTCATATAATCCTGACGGATATAGGCCGATATATTAAGCGAATTATGTAATTGATGTGAATAGATTTAGTAAATGAATAATTCAATATATAATGCAGTCAAACGCAGACAGCCACATTTAAAATTAATATAATTTATATAAATTCATTTATATTATAGTAGACTTTCGCTAATCCGGTCATTCCTTGCACGGGCAATGTCGGATAACCGAGTGTGTATAAGCCTAAATGTAATGAATGACTTAACTCGTCTCCGTGGATACTGATTTATTTGAAAACTGGTGGTCAAATAATACGATGTTCTAAAATGTAATACAGTACTGTACATAGAAATGAATCTCGAGTAAACGGAAACACAATTAACCTTTATATGAAATTACGCTAGAAAATATGCCGAATAATTTAGAGGCCGGATTATCGATAGTCTCCTGTAATTATTATTTCACGTATTATATTTTAAATGTTTTGTTTTTATTTTATAGGAATGTTACTGAACTTTATCCTATTGGCATCACCTTCTAAATCAGCCAAAAAACTATTTTCTGTCGATTTACCAACAAGTACAAGATCAATTTGTGGATTGAAATTTTTTTTTCTCTGTGTATTTATATTTAGTCACGAACAATTTTTTTTAATCTACTGTTTTGCAATAGGAGGTATTTCTGTATTTTAAACAATATGTTTTTTTTCAATTATTTTCTTTTAATATTTCCATTTTACTATTTAATTTAGAGATAAATTATTTTTATTTTATAGACATATTTACTTTATTTTTTAGAATAATAATAATAATAATAATAATAAATTAAATAAGTTATTATGCAAGCATTAACCCATTTAATAAAATGGTAAACAATATTTTGAGAAGCAAGTTAGTTTTCTTTTCTGAACTATTACAATTCTGATTAAGAGTACGATTTAATATGAATTTAATATATAAAAGTGCAAATTGTGTTTTATTGATCTGATAAGGGTTGAGTGTGTTTTCTTTTAACAAAACTTTTTGGCTTACAAAACTGAACCTGCAATTCCTTCTATGATCACTTTTCTAGATTTCGGATATACCACACCTACCAGCAGTCATTCATTATTCTAATCGTGTCGATTCCTATACTGTATTCTTATTTGGGTTTATAATAACTTTTCTATACAATATTTTATTAATTATATAATATAATATTCAAGTAATTATTTAGGGTTTCCTTTCAGAAAAATATTTGTCACTATTTCACTTACTCGAAAATATCTTTTACGAGATATTCCTGCAAGTATTCGTCATAATTGAATCCTTTTTCTTCTTCAGGTAAACATATTTAAAGTATTTCACTCGTTTAATAATTACTTTTTAAAGAATTATAATTAATTTAAGTAAATAAGAATTTTGTAACAATTTGACATTAACAAGAAACTTGCAGAATATAAATTTTTGTTTAATACAAAAACATTTTTGTATTTTGTGGGAATTGTTATCTTTAAAAATAATATAGATGTACTAGCTGTTACCCGTGACTTTGCCCCCGCGGATTTTGCAAGAAAACGCCATTTATATTCAGTAATTGTCATAACACCTACCGCTGAGAATGATGAGAATTGCTGAGAATCAAACGAACTATTTTCAATTTGATCAATTTTATGAAACGTTTATAATTGTTCTGTAATCGAACCAATACGCAAGAACAAATTTAAAACGGTTCGGACATTTGGTTAAAAGATCGAAATATATAAAATTATTTATCACAATGTCTGAAATATTATAAATTTAATACACCTAATTACTCAATGGAGACTAAACGTAGTTGAAAACAAAAATCGCATCTAAAATAGAAAAGTGAATTTTTAAAAGATATTCACAAAACGTTTTATATGCAGTTTTTATTAAAATTAAACTACTTCTTGTTACTTCTGTGTCATTTCAAAAATTCATTAGAGCTATTCCTCAAAGCTTTATACGCACTTCACATTTGGTATTGAGGAAATAAACAATTCTTTGTTCATTATTACTTGATGTTTTCCACCGACGAACAAAACTATACGTTATTTTTGTTTTTTTATATATATTGAGGGAGTGGACAATGTTACTTTTATTAATAGAAAAACAGTTACTAACTAAACCGCAAGTTTGGAAAATCCTTCAAAGAGAATTGCTGACTGAATTAGAAAACTAAAATGTGGGGTCACAAATTTTCGGATGTCAGAAAGGTGTTTTAATTATCGGAAATGTTCTAACCGATGCGAAATAATCTGTGATATCGAGAAATATAAATCTCACTTTCACTTCCGTTGACCAAGTGTTTATATAATATTAGGGAAATACAAAACAATGATTAATCTATGATTTAGGAAATTTGAATGCTTTATATCTAAGATAAAATATAAGAGTAAATTTAAATATTGTTTTGAAAAAAAATATATTATTATTCAAATTTATATTTGCGATCTCATTGTATAACTATTTCTTATCCTGGAAATTGTTAATGAAAACTTTACTTTTTTAATAGTGGATTTTTAACATTCCATTCTCGAGAAACAAATCAAAGACCAATTATTTATTATGTTCAGTTTATAATCAAACGAATAAACAGGTAAGAGCATTATGTTAAGTACAACAATTTTTCACAAATATATAATTAAATTAACGTTACAGATTAACTCTTCCCGTTATGTGTTCGTTGTTATTGTGTATTGTTTTACCTCTTCTCGGAGATGGTCCTCATTCGCAAGTGCTCGTTGATCATGGGAAATTACTGGAACGGAATTGGTGGATGTACGTAATTCACGTACAAAATATATTTGAAAGAGAATCATTCAGTTCGAATGTAAGTGTAATTTTTACAAATTTTATAAAATAGAAGCAATTTTGGATAAAGTATAGAAAATATAATTACTGTTAGAATATATANGTAGAATTACTGATAAACTTTGATTTCTAATCGTTCGATCGTTAAACTATTGTTTCGCAGGACCATTACTCAGCTGTTATTTATTGAAGTTATTTTATCGTTTAGCATCAGTTTTGGATTGTTTCTAATTTGGGTTTCGCTGGCTGCTATATTGGAAGTGTTGACCAAGTATACGTCATCCAAAGGTAAGAATATCCTCAGACAAATATTCTGATTGGACATTATAAATGAATATCAAATTTTAGCAGTTTTGATGAAAGCATTTGTTTATTTCTAATTCTGGATATGAAAAGAAAATAATTTACAATGAAAAATCTTAAGTAATATTTTAAAATTAGTAACATAACAATTTTGTTTTCTACTTTATTATTTGTTCCAATTAAATACAATTAAAAATTGAGGATTCTACAATATTTCTTTTTCAAAATCTTTTACAATTATTAATCTCAATAAAAATTACGATGAAGTCATATAATCCTGACGGATATAGGCCGATATATTAAGCGAATTATGTAATTGATGTGAATAGATTTAGTAAATGAATAATTCAATATATAATGCAGTCAAACGCAGACAGCCACATTTAAAATTAATATAATTTATATAAATTCATTTATATTATAGTAGACTTTCGCTAATCCGGTCATTCCTTGCACGGGCAATGTCGGATAACCGAGTGTGTATAAGCCTAAATGTAATGAATGACTTAACTCGTCTCCGTGGATACTGATTTATTTGAAAACTGGTGGTCAAATAATACGATGTTCTAAAATGTAATACAGTACTGTACATAGAAATGAATCTCGAGTAAACAGAAACACAATTAACCTTTATATGAAATTACGCTAGAAAATATGCCGAATAATTTAGAGGCCGGATTATCGATAGTCTCCTGTAATTATTATTTCACGTATTATATTTTAAATGTTTTGTTTTTATTTTATAGGAATGTTACTGAACTTTATCCTATTGGCATCACCTTCTAAATCAGCCAAAAAACTATTTTCTGTCGATTTACCAACAAGTACAAGATCAATTTGTGGATTGAAATTTTTTTTTCTCTGTGTATTTATATTTAGTCACGAACAATTTTTTTTAATCTACTGTTTTGCAATAGGAGGTATTTCTGTATTTTAAACAATATGTTTTTTTTCANAAAAAGGCAAAATAAAATATAAAACTCCACATTTGAAATAAACACTTTTATTAATATTAAAAATTACAATTTATTCGAAAAGCAATTAACTAATATGACAATATTTACAATGAGTTATTACTATTACAAGATATATACATAGGCTAAGATACATATAATTTCAAAACTAAAAAAAATTTAATTGTTTAATTTTACAACTTGAGGACGTTTTCTCAGATTGGAAATCACTTATCATTTTAACAAGATTATTTTACAATCTATAAAGTTTATGTGTTTTTGTCGAATTTGAAAAATGACTTTGCAAAGACATTCATCAAAAAGATTATTTTATGATAGAACTAAATATTGATTAAGTTGAATATTAGTAATCTTATGCACAATTGATAACTGATGTTTTGCAATTAAAAAGTATCCCGAAATTTATTAATTATTGTTTGCAATGTGAACCATGAAGCAACAATTACAATAGTAACACATTCAGTAGGCAAAGTTATCTTTCTTCTATCAAGATGAAAAATTAATTCATTAGGAAATTGAACTGCTGTTTCATTTGATTCGAGCCAATTCTGACAAATGATACATTTCTTTTTATTATTTCTTTTTTCCCGTAGTTTCGGGTAGATTTTGGAAGGAAAATTCATTTTGAAATATTGTATAAAATGGGTCTATATTAACAGAATTTAAACATAAATATCATCATCTTTGTATTATAAAATTACAAAGCTTTTAATTCTTAACTTTTTTTTCACTTTCTAATAACTGCTTATAACTGATACAATAATTAGACTATTTTACCTCGCAATTACTGTCTGTAACATTAAAATCGTTTCTCTATGTTAACATTCTGAAACTTTGATAAAAGAAGATAGTCTAAATTGTAATTATCAAACATATGTAGAAAAGCCTCATTTGTTATAATTTGTTATGCCTGAAATGTTTAAGTTGTTAATGTGTCTGGTACAGGAAATGTTGATTTCCACTTTTTAATCCTTAAAATCATCTGACTATGAAAATCAATTTATAAAGTATTTATTGTTTCTATTGATTCTCTCAATTTATCATTAAATCTTTGGTCTTCATAGGCATGGCAATTTTCCACCAATTTATAAATAGATGCAAAAAAGAGCACATAATTTCATATTCTGGAAACATACTGGGATTATCATTTTCGATACACCTTAAAGCAGAAATATTTTTCATTTCATACGCTTTTCAAAATAACCATTTTAACTAGAATCTCAGTAGAAGAAATACTGAAGATTTTGGCTTTAATATAATTTAATATCGCATTATTTTTTACTAAAATATTTACATCGTTTGTTATCGTGTATAAATTCATACAAAAATGCGGTTTTCATATTATTATTATTATTTGTTTCAGCAGATGATGGTCAGTTGGTTTATAGCTGCATTGATGCAATTAACTTTACTTAATGTTGTAATTCAATATATATATGACAGGTATGTTTATTTCATTATATTAAAGTTAATTAAAATAATAATATTAGACTGTTATTTCAATGTTAATTCAATGTTAATTTGACTACTAAGAAAGAGCTTTTCAATTGTCATTTGTTGTTTATTGATGTACAATATCTCAGTTTTATACTATCTCAGTAGAAAAACTGATCACCATGGCGCTTTTGGCGCAACAAGCAACAAATATATTATTTGTTTAAGATATTCATACAATACGCAGATTGTAGCTATGCAGAAGATACAGTTTAACGTTGTATTTATTCTGAAAAGTGTAAAACCCGAAGGTGATAAACAGTTTGTTCAACGATCTACCGTGATAATTGATCTGTGATGTTTCTCATGTACTGTACAATGAGAAAATTTCAGTGTGGAAAAATTCTGTCTTTCGAGACTTACGAGTCAAGAATTTACTGTCTTCGAAACTAACAAAGTTACAGCATGTGCTTGAGAAACTACATCTATAACTTTATGCCCTCGACCTGTAAGTATCAAAATTCAACAACATCAATGTGCCTCATAAACAAGTTGACATGCCAAAATTAATTAAATCTTTACCCCGTCCTAAGATATTAAACGATATAGACTCCAACATAAGGACACACAAACACACACACAGAATGAATTTATTAGCCTTTTTGACGTTTCTAGATTTAGGAGGTCAGAAAACATGGAGCTTTGCTAAACCCCGAATGGCTAAATTTGATGTTATTCCAAAATTTTCCTTGTTATATACATAACATCCAGGAAAGTAAAACTGAAATTTTCATTATTCATTACAAGAATTTTTTCAGAATGTGTGGTGAATTGATACCGCGATTTAATGGTAAAGACCATAAAGTACTGAAAACATGTTTTCAAATTTTATTGTTCGTTTTGAAGGACGTCAAATGTTTTTCTTCAATTTAATTATATTCGAAAATTATTTCGATCTTCAAATATATCCCGTTAGAGGACACATCTCTTGACAATACATTTAAATCGCTGTGTCACTTCGACCCGCAATTTAAATACAGTAGACCCCCTGTAACACGATGGATACGTTCCCTGTTTTATGAAATTCATGTTTTACGATTCTTTAAATACATGATTCAATCACAGCTTGGCACGTATGCAGTTTACGGACTACGGCTGTTTAAAAGGTTTTCTTCCATAAAATTAATCGATTCTAGACTAATTCGACTCAACATTTCCAAAACACGTATAATTTTTTAGGAATAATCCATATAAGCTATGCTATAAACAAAAAATTGTAGGATTACTTACCGAGTGTGCACCGTTCGACAATGCCATTGCTTAATTAAGCTTGTTTTCGTCGTGGAGCGGCGCATCGAACGGCAGGCGCGTGTTTCCTGATAAATTATTTTTCTGCGAAAAATTCGCTGAACTCTGGAAACATCATTAATATAAATATAATTTTATGGCCGTTAAATAATGAATGGTTTTTAGTAGGTCCGCTACTCGTTTAAACTTAATGGTTTGTGCAATATCCGCTATTGGTCTAGATTCGACCAATCCTGTCGCTGTATTGAAAATAGACAGAATGTGGGTCATGATGACCCACCACCTCTTACAAACATTACAAATTTACGCAGACGTCAAGGGTCGCTGTGGGTCACCATGGCCCCAAAGAGCCATTATTTCTTAATGCATTCTGCGAAACTGAGTAACGGCCATACGTTCTTTTAAATAATAACAAAGAATATAGGAAGCTACTGTGAGTCACATTAGTATTAGTAAAACATAATTATTAAGGATTCGGCAGATCATAATAGAAGGTGTGCGGGTGAAAGTGTGACAAGCAACCTCTCCCAGGATATGGTATCTTTTTTACATTCATATAATTAGGCGTCATTTACTCCAGTGAGATTTTCGTATGTTATTTATTCATTTAGGATATTTTCTTACAGATGGCCGAAAAGTGGAATCGTGGTTACATCAGCCTTGATTCTTACAGGAATTGCAACAGATATAAGTGATCTTTATACAGGAAATTATTATGCAGTAGTTAGTAATGCTAAGTAAGAATAGTTATAAATATATTCTGATTATTATAAATACGAACATTTAATATTTTTCAATTATGCCGTGTTTAGAAAATTATCGTTTATTTCCATTACTTAAAATCATTTTATTGCTTTTTACAATATTAAAATATTTTTTTAGTAAGTTGTTAGAATACAGAAATCATCATTACGTTTTGCCATGGTTTTCTCATATGTCTACGTATTTTCTTGGTGTACTGTTCGGATGTCTTCTGCCAAAGAATAAAACTGTCAGATTTCAGAAGGTATTTTTCTATTATTTTATAACCATTTTTCGATTTTAATATTTTAAAATATAACATATATTTTGAAATGCAAATTAATTTATTATTATGATTATAAGTGAAAAGTAATTTAACAAGTTTATTCACGTATAATTAAAAAAGAAAAGTTTTGCTTATAAACAAATAGTTTAACCTTGATAAACCCGACTCGATTGCCTGTATCACTAAATATTAAATTCATATTACTTATTCTCGTTAAAGTAGTTTACATATTCAAACACTAAATTTTGTGTTCCGTTATATTGTCATACATTTGTAAAATGACTTTTACGCATTTTCGTCAGTATTTAGCCTACATTGAACGCTTTTTGCCTTTGAAACTAGTATAGTGAAAGAATTTTGATATTGGCAGTTTCTTCGTTTTAAAATAACTGAAATTACTTAAAAGGATAAATGGAATAAATAATAATTTATATAATTTTTACAGAAAACACTTATCGTCCTTTGGATTGCTTCTCTTGCCCTGTTGGGTCTATCAATATTCTCCTTATTTAAGTTGAAAAACGAAGATTCTCCTAACGAAAACTACCTGATTGCATTTCAGTCGTTTGCTCCCTTGGCGTGGACATTAGGTTTAAGTTGGATTTGTGTGGCATGTATTACTGGATATGGAGGTAATTTCTACTACTTTAGAAGGATTTTTTTTAATGTTTCCATCCTTAATTTTGCATTGTTCTCCGTGACACTAGTTGCTGATATTACGTCCTAACAATACAAAATTTCCATGAAATTCAAACAATAAACTTATTTCTTCTTTATCTGTAGTCTAAATCTAAAAATATTTTATTTCAATAATTTTTCCGGGAGAATATTCGTAGAGAAGTTACGAAGTTTTATTTAACTAATTTAATGTTTTTTTAGGAATGATCAACCGATTTTTTTCGTCGGACGTATTTGTAATATTAGACCATTTAAACATTTGGATATATCTAATACACGCACCGGTAATTTTTTATATTTCTGCAAATATAAGAAATTCGATAGTCCTGACGAAAATGAATTTGGTAAGAAATCTTTTATATAATTTATTTAATTAATTGTTAAATGTTTTAATTCGAATTATTTTATCAGTTTAATATTTAAGTTATATATTGTCAGACAATTAGAATTCATTTTCTGGAATAGAAGAGTACAAATGGAAAAACTTACAAATTACTTGAATAAACTCGAATTTTCTACACTTGAAATATTTCACAAATATTCAGCAATTAAAAAAGAAATAAAAGTAGTATAATGTACAGTACATTTTACACAAGTTTTATGTTCATTAAAAGCGCACGAATCGTTAATTTCGTGTGTATAAAAATATCATACTTTATTAGATTTTAAGACAGTTCTGAAATTTAGTCAATATTTTTTCCCCTTAAGTTTATGCAAATTTAGTGAATTATCAGAGAAACATCAGAATGAGTAATCATTTGAGTGAGTAAAGGCGATTTCATTTCGATCGCGACAACAATTTGTCTTGCAAAATAAGTAGCGGGGGTGTATTTTTGAGAGAAACAAGCAACAAAATTTACAATATCGTAAAACTCACGAGGCATTACAACAGGCCGCGAGTATTGTAATAAACAGTGAAACCTGCTAATATGACCACTGAATGAACCAGCTCAAAGTGGTCATCTTACACAGGTGGTCATTAATAGGTTTTATTGATTGTGTAACTGTATACTGTATTGTGCTTTTAAGAGAATTCTGCAGAAAATTTACGTAATTTATGAAACTCACAGACTATGTGCCCATTTCGTGATTTGAGCAACATTTCCGGAATCGAAGTTACATTATACATAATCATATAATTAATAACATTTGCATTATTTCTGCTGCTTTCCTGAAGAATTGTCGCCGCTTGACAAATTCGTATCGCAGCACGAACCTTATTACCTAAAGATAAGATTTGTTTTCGAAAGCGACAAGTAGGTAGCGAGTATAACAATTTTCTATCCATAAATCATTGGCTATGTGAAACTGTTTTAAGAGTTTGCCAAGTTTATAAGCGTGCGAGTGATACGCTCTCTCCTAAACGACTGTTGAAACAAGTAACATCCCGGCTTTACAGATAAGCAATTCAAGTGATATATTTCAAATTTTAAATGATGATCCATGTGTATAAAGAAATTTTTTTCAAAAATGAACAGTATTTTATGAATTATCATTATGTTGTTGTTATTATTATTATAAAAGTAAAAGGTGGGGAACAACGAATATTAAATTTAAAATGTTTTAGTCTGTCGCCTACAATGTAAATTAAAGTGAAGTCAACAAGTCGAAGCATGTTTAATTTAATTTTAATATTTTCGTTGCATACTTGGTTGCATAAATTATAATAAAAACATAATGATAATTTCTTTAATAATTTCTAGGACAATGAGTGGAACGTTGAAACATTCCATTGTTTTACTTCAACAAAGCAACCGTAAAAGATTTTTGACTCATGATTTAATAAATATGGTAATAACGTATTAAATTTACATTATTTTTCATGAAGTTTTAAATTTTCTTTTCTTTTCTTTCAGTGGATGATATTTTTCTTTGTGCTATTCCTCACAGTAATCACTTCTATGGTTTTCTATGTATTTATCGAGTCGCCCATAAACAATCTGCTTTCCAAATTACTGAAAATATTATCATCCAAGAAAGTGGTTTTTAATAACAAGAACGAAAATAAGAAAATGCAAGACGGGCGCTATTCGGAAAGTTATCATTCTTAAAAATTTCCATGAAATTGTCTGAAAATAACATATAATGGAAATTATCATTTAAATAATTATGCTGAAATATTGTTATATATAAATATAGGAAAATGCATTTGAAGGTAATATATAACAAAATGTAAACAAATAGTAAAACCTAATAAAATTTTGAATTTTATGCTCTTTTTATCTACTTAAAATCTCTTCAATATCTATTATGATTGAGAAATTGTTAAAATCATAAAATGAAACTACAAAAAGATCAATTCTTGGCAAAATGAACCAATAAAGTAAAAGTCAGAAAGTATTTTTAGTTTTTATTAAATTTTGAGTTAGCAAAATGCCATCTCGTAGTTACTTCGACTTAAAGAAACAGTCAGTTCACTCTACGAGAGTTTACAACTTTGTATTTGAGATGTCGAGAAATGCAAAGAAGATGGGTTTTCACCCCTCCGTGTGGATGTCAATGTGTGTAGGGGCAAGATATTTTTATCCACTTTGAAGCACAATAACTCCTGTGCCTTTGGTCGAAAGTTTCTGAAATTTTCCACCATGGGTGTGTATTAGGGCAAAATTTTCAGGAAAATAAGCGCTTTGGTACGGGAGATATGATCCTCAACCTCTTAATATCTCCCGATCCAATCAGAATACAAATGTAAGAGTAGCAATTTTTAAAGACATCCAATACAAAGAATACCAGGAAGTTCAACAACAATGTTATCAACTTTTTTTGTATTGTATAATAAATTTTTCTTCCTCCAAAACACAAATGTTTATTGAAGGAAGCCATATTCTAACAAAATTATATTCTTTCTGTTATGGAAATGCATTTTAATCATCCTTTCTGCCCAACTTCAATTCCTCTTTACATTAAATTCGTATATAATAATTATAAATACAAATCATAAATGATTACTTTTACTAATCATTTTTTTCTATCAGTCACCTTGTTTATATTACAATCAGTATAATCTCTGTTTCAAATATTTGTTTCATTCTCTCTTTTATTCTTTTACATACTATATTTTATTAAACATAATTTTAAATCTCTACAACATTTCTAAAACATATTATATTGAATTATTATATTTAAATATATTACTTAAAGTACAGTATAATATTTATTTAAAATTATTTATTTTTCATAGAATAAAATGAATGTAATTACTTTTTCGGCTCTGCCACATATAATAGAGGGAAAGTATGGCCATCAGTGAAAAATAACCTCTCACGATTTTTACATTTTTGGACTCGATGACCTTGAAACGTCCAGAAATGCAAAAAAGTTGAGGGTTTTTCTGTATACATGAATATTGGTGTGTTGGGGGGCATAATCTTGTTCGCTCACTTTAAAATTAATAACTCCCGTGCTTTTAGTCGAAAATTTAAGAATCTTTGCAGGGTAATTTGTGTGTTAGGAGAAATCGATGCTCTTAAATTTTGGTGGTTAAAGGTCAAGAGGATGGGGAGATAGAGAGAGTCATATGTCATATCTCGAGTAGGATGAAACTTACATGCTATATTGCGCTTTTATGTGGTCCCTAGATTTTAAAAGCATTCGAGTCAATAAATTTTAAATTAATAATTGCCGTTGTATTTCTTTTTGCAGCGAAATACGGTGTTTTATTCCTACCATTGTTTTCAAAACTACATAGCACTGTAGGTGAAACAAATAATTCGTGAAGATCTAAATAAGCAAATCAGGTTGACAGATCACTTCTGTTCCTTTTGATATTAAAAGTTGTTTATTTTATTAATTTTAAGTACTGTCTCCTCACCTGTAAGTTTCTGTTAATCCGGTATTTCATACCTTCAGGTGAATTTACGGTGTTGTGTCAATTCACATGAAGGTGAGAAATTTCGAATTCACTGTGTAATGAGTAAGGGAAAGATTCCTTTATTTCTGAATGGAAAGTTCTAAAATTTTCTATTCCAGTAACTTTACTTTACTTTTTAGAGAATTTTTACTCAATTTTATAAGTTTTCATGTTTTATTTAGTTTTTAAATTTCCAATTACTGTATTTCTAATTTGTATTGAAAAATTTAAATTACACGGATTTTTAATAAGCGATAGGGGAGACCGGGGCAAGATCGGCATGTTAAGATTTACTTAAATTTTGTGTAATAAATACTGCTGTAAACTGAAAAAAACCTTTTGCATATTGTCTNAGTTGCCCCGGTCTCCCCTATATTACGAAATATACTACTGTATAATAAAATTGCAACTGAAATTTTGTTTTTATATCGACAGTGTTTGTTTGTCTTCAAATGCCATTGTTAAAGAAACAATAAAGACGTTGGTAGTATCGATGGTTTAGTAAACATAATTTAATACGATGTAATCATGAATAAAATTCGGAATTGCGAAACTAAGCTTATTTTATATCAGAAACACTTCCTGATGAAAGAATAGAGGAGAGAGATTCGATAGCATGTATAATCTGTTTAGTATAAACCAATTTTTAGTATCGAGTACTACAAATGGAATTATATGTGTTATACTAAACAATGTGTTATACTAAATATGAGAAGCGGGGATTGCTTCACGGGGCTTAATCCTTTTCTCTGACGTCGGTCCGGTGAAGCTCGCTCACAATGGATGGCGTTCTTCTTGTATTTAGTGCGAGTGGAAGGGTTAGCGAGGTTGTCGATAAAGTGTCGACAGTAAACGAGAGAGATTAACCATAGTTAAAACTCAACAAATTTAACGAGAAAATTTCCAAGAAAGGTCTAGGAACAAAGTTCCCGCGTTTCTAGCTACTGATAAACTAACAGACTGAGAGACAGAGCTTACATAAGGTCGGTAAATCATCCTACCTCTTCCAAGTAGATCAAGTAGTCGCGGATGTGAAAGGGAATATCTGTAGTAGCAGGGAGACGATCCAGACGATAAGGTCACAAGGTAAAGAATACTCCTTAGTAAACGATCGCCCCGACGATCGAATGGGCTATCCTCACTAGGTGTGGGAATTTAATCAGATAATCTTCTGTTTTGTAGCGATAACACTCCAAATGTGTCATCGTTGGGCCGGTTAGGGCGATGAGAAACTATGTTGTTAGATTCACACCGTGTAATTGTTTAAATGTCAAATTTCTAACACGTCAACAATTATTTGTTATACTTTGTTTAGTTATACTTTATTTCACAACTTTTTTAGGTCAAGGAAAGGGGAAAGAGACTTGTTTTTTTGAAGACTAATTACTAACTTAAGTTTCCCCCAGAAGATTGTTAACAGTTAAAATACCCTTCCATCGAATCCTATTTTCTATTCCCGTGGGAAACGGATGGAACAAAGAAAATTGTTTTTATAATTCGACTGTTAGCTAAAAATCATTGAAAAAACAGTCTCCCGAATCTCGCAGTTATATCTCGCATATCAGACATATCTTGCTTTTTCTTTGTCTCCGGACAAGCGAGATATAACGACAGGTCACTGTATTTCTTAGTTCATTACTTTCAAGAAAGTCGTCTTTCAAGTACAGTGCGTGATCGGTTAACGAACAGATCGGATAACGAACACTTTCGCGAAAGATTTTTATGTTCGGACTACGAACACGTGATTGGATAACGCACACCCCACAGAACAAACACAAGAAGAAGCGACGTAAAATAATGAATACCGATTGGTCTTCCCTTGTCTTCAGACAACAATTTGAAACTTTTTGGAGCGCGGGAGACGTCGACATCGACGCTCAACCTGGTATATACCGATTGGATAGTATTTCTCCGAACTTTGAAACTCTCCCTTGTAATTCCAGTCTTTTATTTTTTTGACAAAACAATTCTTTTATGTATTCGCGAGACTGTAGGGTAGGCACTAGTTAAGTTTTGCATCTGATTTTCTTTTCGAAACGTGAGAGTATAATAGCAAAGGTAGAGTGTGGGCAGAAGATGCCTAATGTTGCTGGTGAGTATGACGTAAACAGCTCTACAGTAGGCCGCAGTTCAATCTTATTTAAGAAAAATACAATACTCAAGCGCTAATGAAGCAACAAAAATCACATCTGTGAAATAAAGAACATCGAAGAGCTCATTATGGAATCTGAAACTGATCTGAAAACTGATCATTCAAGAGTTCTTGGCGAAGAACACCAAGAAACTCGGCGAGATATGTTTTCTTCTGAAAAAGAGGATTAATGTCGATATCTGCTATTAAGCATCTTTTGAAGTGGGAGGATGTCAGAACAACGGTCTTAGAATGACATCGAAACCAGGTTGAGATTACAGTAGAGAGTCGTTTATCCGAATGAATTTGGGACTGGGGTCGTTCGGTTAACTTATTTTTCGGATAACCGATTATGCACGAAAAAATATATTAACCTATCCCATGTTGAAATTTTTCTCCGTTGCGTGTCACTTCGCGTTGAATTTTCGTCAGTGTTAAGCCTAACGTAAACTTTTAAAAATAATAATTGTGGCTATTGTATCGTTAAAAATTATTTCTTTATTTTGTAGAAACAAAATAAATATATTGAAAAATATAAAAACAAAAAAATATACTTTAGAAGTTGATCTATTATCAAAAGCGTTCGATTCAGCACTATACACAGTCTTCAGAAAAACACTACACAAAAGTGCCAGTGCTGCCTGCTAAAACACACACACCAACAAAAAAAATATTGGAGTAGCCCAAGATAGAGCCAAAGATTGCAGCGCCACAGCACTAGCGAAAATTTAAATTTGCCGACAGGAATGATTTCGGATAACCGACATTTCGGATAACCGACTTTCAGATAAACGACGCTATACTGTAATAGGCTCGATGATCTCTACAATTATAATGCTATTAATTACTTCTGAAAAAATCCTGAAAAAGAGAAAAGCAATCGACATTAGACAGATTCTTTAAGTTCGTTAACCGATCACCCACTTGTACCAAGAAACAACATTATCGGCATATCCAATAATTTTTGCTTTTTTAATTCGTATATTTTTCTCTTTGTACATTTTTCTCTTTGTATTCTACCCATAGCGTCATGCAAGCAATGGGTAGAATAGTGGAAATATTTCATTATT